GCCGTTCACATACAGCCTGTAGGTAAAGCTGAGCTTCTTCATGGCTTGCAGGGATTTTCTGTTTGTTTGTTTGTTTGTTTTGTTTTGTTTTCTTAGGAATGTGAAGCATATCATGCTGTTGAACATACAAGGGGATTTTATTAGTCCATTAAGGAAGCTGAAGTTTAGACATTAGATCCAAGGTCACAGAGGAAATCTATACCTTTGATGAGTAGAATCTTAACTGTGGTGGTCTGAATGAGAATGGCTCCATAGGCTCGTATGTTTGAATGCTTGGTCCCCAGGTAGTGGAACTGCTTAGGAAGGATTAGAAGGCGTGGTTTTGTTGGACTAGGTGTGGCCTTGTTGGAGAACGGTTTTTTTGTTGTTGTTGTTTTGTTTTGTTTTTCCTGGGGTTACTTTGTGGTTTTAAAAGCTTGTATCAGGCCAAGTGTCTCTCTCTGCTTGCTGCCTGCAGACTAGGATGCAAAGTTCTCAGCCACAGCTCCCTGTCATGCTTGTTAGTTTTCTGCCATGATGATCATGGATTAATCCTTTGCAATTGTAAGTGATACACCAATTAAGTGCTTTCTTTTTAAAGTGTTGCCTTGGTCACGTGGCTCTTCACAGCTACATAATAGTGACTAAGACACTCATTTTTAAAGAGCTTGCTAACCTAAGCTGTGGAATCACAGTGATTTATACCAAAGGCTTTCCAGGTGATTCTCACCTCTAGTTATTGACTTAATTAGGTCAGAACTTGTAATTAGTATGACATTCACCCATAGGTGTCAGTGGAAGAGTGGCTTAGGATAGGCATTGAATGGCTTTGTGTCAGTGTTCTGGGGCTGCTATAACGAAATACCATGGACCAAGTGGTCTGAACCACAGACTAAAATTTACTTCCATAGTTCCTGATGCTAGGCAGTGCAGCTCCAGGTGCTGGCCACTCTGATCTCTGTGACTCTGTCTTCCTAGTCTGCAGACCCAGTACCATTTCTCTGGGTGGGAAGAGAGGAAAGTGGATTTTTCCTTGTCAGTTACAATGATACTTACTAATCATCACCCCAATGAATCTTTGATTTCTGTGTCCAAATTAGGCCCTTTCTCTATTTGTTGTGGGTTGGGGCTTCAACTATATGCATTTTTAGTCTGTAGCAAAAGTTCAGACCACTGCAGCTACCTAGTCCCATCTTTATTCTGCATAGGAAGTGCTATTGTAGAAGGATTTGTCCCACTTGTATCGGGGGCAGTCACTTTTGGACCTTTGTCATCTAGTGAATCGCCTGCCCCATGGCAGGACTTTACTTATTGTTTAGCTTTGCTGATGAATTAGTATCAGTGAAGATCTTCTGTTGCCTTTTTGTGCCTGAAGTTTTCTTGTGGCTGTTAAGCCTATTCTTTGAAATTAGGTAGCCAGGGCATGGTGTTTCAAGGGGTTGTTACAAAAGAAGCAAAGTTTTGGCCACTGCAACTCTGTGAACATTTGTTTATGTAATTGAATACCTTTGAGGTAAATATGAAGGAATAATATGCTGAGAGACGGGTGATGAGGAAGAGGATAAGGAGATGTCACAGGGGACCCACACTAAGACAACTGCTGGTGTTAAAGATGAAATTTACATCTGATTTTCACAGCAGAAAAGAAAAGCATTATTCTGTACGTTTCTTCGTTCTCTTAAGCTATTTAGGAAGGAGACATTTTTACACCGAAGCTGCTACAAGGAGAAATTCATTGCATGGGTTATAGAATTAAGAACTTTGACTTTGTTTAGTGTGTTAGGCATTGCTGGCAACACTGCTTTGATCGTTCGTCCTTCCTTCCTTCCTTCCTTCCTTCCTTCCTTCCTTCCTTCCTTCCTTCCTTCCTTCCTTCCTTCCTTCCTTCCTCCCTTCCTTCCTTCCTTCCTTTCTTTCTTTCTTTCTTTCTTTCTTTCTTTCTTTCTTTCTTTCAATAAAACAAATACTAAAGTCTATGTTAGTTTCTTACAGACTTATTGAAACTCAAAATTATAACAGTGAGTTAAATATCCAGGAAGTTTTTCTTTGGGTAACTCAAAGTGTAAATGCAGCCTTGCAGTTTTCTGGTGATGAACGTGTGTTCAGTAACAGTACTAACATAGAAATGAGAACACACACCCACCCATGTGTATCTTGGTATACCTATACCTTGGTAATGAATTCTAGGAAACTGCCTCTGGCAACAATCACCATAATTTCTATCTAAAACTCTGTTCTTTAAGAATTGAGATAGGTTGACTTAAAACCTGAAAAGATGGAATGACATAACTTCCTTATTCTGGCGCAGGAGCCATCATCTTCTAGAATGTTTTAATTCACTTTAGATGGGAGTCTGGAATAAAAAGAGACATGGTCGAGGCTCCCTAGTCCCAAGGATGATAGTTCTTAGAAACACACCATCAAATGTTACTGATCTGTATCTCAACATTAAGGTGAGGCTAGTTTAACCTTTTTCTTGCTTCCATTTTACTTCGCAGTGCTAACACTTGTTTATTTTCTGGATCTCTAAGCCTGCATTTTCAGTCTTCCTTTAATCTTCTCAGCAAAGTACATAAAGATCCTTAAAGCAAAACTGTCTTCTTGTTATTTCTAAATGGCCCTTTGAAAAACTGTTAGGCCACCTCCCCTTTCCTGTCAAAGAATGGATTTCCTTTGGTCATGGGACCCTTCACTGTGGTACAGCAGGCTGCCGAGGTTTGAACATGACTAGGTAGAACATGCTTTGAACCAAAGCTGTGCAAAGCTGTTCTTACCTCCTTGGCAAATTACACTCCAAGGCTTCCCTTCAGAAGGAAAGCTTCTGTCAACCTAAAAACCGAATGCATGATCTGCCCGTGTGTCCTAGCTGGAACAAAACAGACACTAACCAGCTTGCCTTGTCCTGGCGTCCTAGGCTTTTGTTTTTTATTTCTTGCAGGAGGGGAAAAAACACTTAATCCTCTCCCTCTCTGTGAATAGATAGACTTGATCTTTATGTTGCCCTCTCCTTTTAACTTGGTTGGTTCTTGATGCCTTTTGCAGTCAGTTAAAGGATGCCTCTGGATTCAGAGTGGAAGTGGATGATTGTATCCTTTCTTGCTATGGCAGTGGGCTTCTGCCATAGAGCTTCATGTTTACCGCCTTTAGTTGATTGCAGTTCAAATCAGTAAGACTCTGGTAAAGCAGGGGACTTCCCCTTCTGCTTTGGAGAATCCTTGTTTGTGACCACATTCGTCAAGTCTGAGGTTCTAAGTCGGGGGCTGGTGGGAGGGAGCCTGGAGTGATACATACTTGTTCAGTCCTTTCTGCGAGCTGGCCTGCTTTCCGTTCCTCAGTTACTCTGACTTGAAAACCCCTGGGACCTTGCGATAAGGGCAGAGGAGAAGGACAGGGAAACGGACACTCGAGTGATACAGCACATGGTCAGGAGGGAGTTCAAATGCTGGCTGATTTTCTCTGCTGTGCTCCTAGCCCACTGCTAACCAGCTACTTAGCACCTCCTCTGTGGCTTTCTTCACTGGCACTCTCTTGTTCTGGGGTTTGGGAAATAAATTTTGCCCTCAGCAGGACTCTTTGTAGCGTTTGACCTGATATGGGGAATACTTAATGGCCAGCGAGGCCAGCCTGGGCCTGAGGCTCCCGGAGGGCCCTGCCTCACAGCAGTACTGTTCCTGCTTCTGAAAGGGAGGCTCCCTCGCACCTTTTCTCCAGGGTGGCTCTCTTCGGTTGAGCCACTTAGTATTGAAGAAATATTTTCCTGGCAAGGCCGAAGCCAGCGAGGAAGGGCAGGCCATGCTCTGGCATGTGGGAAATAGACAGACAGCACAGATGTAGGCGTCTGGCACACTGACTCAGATCCCAGCCCAGGTACTTGCTTAGCTACATGACCTTGGGCAACGTTGCCAGGTTCCCATTTTCTCACATATAAAATGAGGCTGATAGTGAACATTTATGGGCTTTAGCGGGGATTTTTATGGCTATGTCACTACTGTGCTGTGGGTGGTCAGCGCATGGATCACACAGGTTGGGCTTCCGTGTGTTGGAGCCTTGGAGAACCGGGTAGGGCCACTAGGCCACAGTCTTCCAGGTCCCTGGATCAGCAGACCCCAGCTGATGGAGGTTTGGGGGGAGCAAACCACCTTTCCTAAATCAGCACTTGCGGGTGACGGTTAGAAAGTCACATCTGTCCCCTTTTGTGCAGTCCCAAGTTTAGGCTGTGTGTCTTTGATTGGGTCTCTAGGGGCTGGAGAGAATGGATGCGATTGGAATGCCATTTTTTCTGTATTACCGCAGACTTAAGATGCTGCGCTCTCAGGGGTCTTTGGCCCTGATGGGATATAAATCTGATTAGAAGCCCTTGCTGTTGTGCCACAAATCATTACCCCTCTATGTTCTGTTCTTATAAAATATGGATAGCAGCGTGGCTCCGTCTTTCAGGAGTTTAAGTGCATTAGCTAATGATCAGGAGACCTTAAGAATATGAAATTTTCCACCAATGCCAAGAGCTTTTGTTATTACACATTATTTTACTTGGTGTTCTTAAGAGCTTGTTTTAAACATGAGAATCCTAGGGCAGATTTTTGCTTTTCTAATTGTAGAGCAAGAGCTGAATCCAGAGAGTGTTCAGGATGCTAATGGATGTCCTGATGAGGTCCCCAAGTAGCTAATGGAAGTCCCGATGGAGGTCCCCAAGTAGCCCAGGCAGGACTGACTGGTTGGGTTGCACTGATGGGAAGGACAGATAGAGATGCTGCAGTTGAAGTGAGTCTGGATTCAAGGGTCTTAACCACTTCAAGCAGAAACACCTGGAAACATCCAACTGTCCCCCTTTCTCCTCTAAATAATTATGTTACAAGGGACTCTCTGAAGATGTCACTGGTAACATTTTGAACACCTTCAGTCAAAGACTTTAGATACGGAAATTTAAGAAAGAGCCATGTAAATAGCAGGTGCTCCTGATAGCTGATGTTGTTTTTATCTTGTTTCAGGCAGTGGAGCGACTGCTGTGGTTCAGGCAGCCCTATGCAAACCCAGGCAAGAACGAGTAGCCATAAAGCGGATCAACCTGGAAAAATGCCAGACGAGTATGGACGAACTACTAGTGAGTACAAGGGAAGGGGATTCCTGGCCCTGGGCTAGTGGACATGGGTGAGAAGGACGTAGTGTCCGTGGGTAGCGTTTCTTGGGCATCGGCAACACCGCTCTCTTCCCTGAGTGATGCTCATGACTGAATAGCTCTGATGGGCAGTGTTCAGGCTGCGCAGTCCTGGTAGCCCCAGTGTGACACTGCCTTGTACACACTGAAGGACTACACCCCATGCTCAGACCTGAGGTCACCTGACTTCTGACCCTAGAGTTAGATGTCTAGTTTCTTCTTACCCTTGTCTATGAGTTCATGACACAGCTATGGATTATTCCAAAAGTGTTTCCTGATCACTTCCGCTTTTATAAGTTACAAAATCATAATAAAATGTAGGCGATTTTTTTTTTTGTAATGTACAGTAGACTGCACTGGCTGTTGACACAAGTTTGTCACTCTTACATGGTTACCTTTTATTTCTTATTTGAAATGAAGCGCTTACATAAATAATTGGAGCTTGTCTGTGCAGTTCTGTCTATAGGAGCTTTGGTTGGTTGAGGGAACATTTACTTTTGGCTTAACTGCTCATTATTAAATGACCAGCTTAGCAAATGCTTATTAGTTACCTAGCAAACTGTGAAGGGTTTTGGAGTTTAATCTCATAAATATAGTTGTCGTTGTGCCTGCCAGTTTTTTTTTTTTTTAACCCTTTGGCCATTTATTTCAGGATAAAAGAAAACTGCAGTGGAGGAGTTAACTGGTTATCCCAGTGCCAATCCCAGCACAAATATTAGTCCAGTAGCACCACACAAGCTACAAAATATAATGACAGTTGGCTCCACATAAAGAAGCCTTTTGTTTTATTCTACATTGGGAATGGAATGCCATTAACAAGAGCTTTTTGTCTCTACTCAGAATATAGCTTTTATTTCAGGCTTAATTACAGTACACTATAGTATAAATTAAGTTCAAGGATAAAGCTGTACTTTTCCAGATCCGTTCGGCCTTACATTTTAAATCAGGTTACACAATGCATAGATCTCACTGGGACTGAAGCAACGGATTGCCAGCCAAGGCCCAGATTAAAGCAAGGGCTTCTGCAATTAAATGTTAATTAAAACAAATCATTCATGTGTGTTTTTTATCTCTTCTCAAAATTTCAGCTGTGCGTTGCCTGCGTGGGCATTGCTACTACATAGGACTTATCTGTTTCTGCCTGTGTAGTGGCCAGTGCAAGTGTGTCTTTGTCATTTGCCAGTTCTCAAGGTCACCTTCCCTGAAGGGAAAAAGCATTGAATAAACTGTGGGGGAGAGCTGGGTCCTCCTTCAGGCACTAACTTGTTTTTTAACTTTAGTTGGATCGCCTAATATAGCTTTGGGTCATTTAAGAGAGAACTGGAGGGGAAGATCCTGGAGGTCTTTTGGGTGTCTTCAAATTCTGTTGCTGTGCGAGAGGGTGCATACTTTTTTTTTTTTTTTTTTAATGTGGACTGTACATTAACATTTATGCCTTGTTTGAAAATCCCTTAAGAGCTTGCCTGTGATGTTTGCATGTCATTGTGGTGCTGCTCCGTTGGAGCTTCTGCCACCTTTCGACCACCAGCTGGATGTTTACGCAGAGTGTGAGCAGCTTGGGTGCCCTTGTGCTGGCAGCGTTGGAGGCAGCTTTGGAGCTGCACCGATGCAGTGCTCTGGTCTCTGTCAAGCTCTTAGTTGCCCAGGGCCCTTGGTAGCTTTTTTTTTCCCCTCACAGTTGGCAAAACAGACACGATGGCCCAGTTAGGGTTAGGTAAGCATGCCATCACAGGCTGTTTGCCACTTACCTACCTGTCTGTCTGAGGACTGGGCTTTTTATCCCTGTGTGAGTTCGTCTGTTAGCAGTGTTTAACTAATTTTTCTGACCTGCTTTTCTTTTGCTGTGGTGCCTAAGATGTATAGAGCGCACAGATACTTATTCTTTCACTAAAGGAAAATGATAACATTTTCAACGTAAAGGATGCATTCCTAAATGTATCCCTTTGGTCATTGCTTAACCTAGAACTTTTGCCCTTTCATCGCCCTGATGTATTTAGAGATGGTGGGAGGAATGACTGGTGCTTCAAGATACACTACTGTTCCCGACTTCTTTTCAAACAGAAGTAATTAAGAATTCAGAGGGTAGCCTGTCTACAGTCACCAGGCCTTTGTGGTACAGATGATTGACATGGGGGCTTTGTGTGGGGCTGAGTTGCTGTACCCTTTCGACCTCTAGTCCTGCTGTTGCCTGCACTTTCATTATTCCTGCGGTTTCACATTTTGGCAGTGTTCGGACATCCGGCATCCTAATAATCCTTTAATTCCATGCGGGTGTATTATCTCCAGGTTGGGGCACTGTTTCATCTCACAGAGGGTGCCACGTGTTAACTGGAAACCATTGTTCTTAGAAGAAACAATAGCCACTGGGGTCTTTATCTTGTGAGAGCATTATGTCATAGAAGTCACAATTATCAACTATCTACCAGCTCTTGGAACATGTGCCTCCCCCAAGGGCTCTTTCGCCCTTGATCCCTACTCTCTGCTCTGTTTCCAACCCTCAGTTCCCTCCCTGGGTTCATGACCCTTGTATAGGGGGACACTATATGCAGAGCCAGGAGTGATGACACACAGATTTCACAGCATCTTTGCTTTGCTCATGGCTTTGACTCCAGGTTTAGCTGAAGAAGGACTGAAGTTGTTAAAAGTGTTAATCACCCTGCCAACTTCTTTGAGAATAAAAGAAGGAAAGCAAATGTCAGAGGGACTCATTGGTACTGAATAATTGCTGATTTAAACATGTCTGTTGAAATGAGTTCTGCTATAAAAGTAAAGATTCATTTATATGTTTATCTGATAGATACTTAAACATAATTTCTGTAGCATGCTTAGTCTATTAGAGGGTTCAGTTGCAGATGTGTATATTGAATTTCAAGGCTCGTTATTCATGCAAACCTTGTTTGATGTAGTTTAACAGTAATTAGAAAAGAGTGCCCCACATGAGTGGTTTCATTCAGATATTGACTGACATTTAAGTACACCAAACTTATGCTTTCTCTCTGTATTTGCCTGCATTTTTCTTGTCTGCTTTAGAATTTGCCTGTGACTGACTGTAACCTGTCAGCATGAAATGAATACGGCAGATAAGGTCTATTGCTGGTCCACCTTGTGTCTGTTTCAAACATGTGCCCTGATCATGTCTAAGATGTTTACCTCATACTTAGTGTCAGCCGGCACTCATCCGTCCCACGGCAATATTGATATGAATGGAAATTTAAAGTAGCCTGGGAAGATACTTTTCTAGTTGTTAATTTCCCATATACCAAATGCTTCAGATGCTGGGGAGTTTTTGCCCCTTTTTAAACTAGTGAATCAGTCTCTTCATTTTGGCAGAGGGTGCTGAGATTTTTGAGCAGCGGATGTCTGTCTTTTCCCTAGGTTGGGAGCCACTGTAGAAGATTGATAAAACAGATGGGAATGTAAGACTTGCTAAGTGACCCCTTGTCATGCAGACTGGTGAGCTCCTTTTGGAGGGAGCTTTGAGCCTCCTGAAAGTGCTTGCGTCCCTGGCTTTTTGGTCAGTTTCAAAGGTTAGGAACACTATACATAGGACGCTTTTTTCTTTAAAATCCATTATATATGTGGAGAACTAATCAGCTTTTTTTAAAAGGCATCTGTTTTTGTAGTCCTTCATCATATGATAAAATAAATCGATAAATACACCATTCAGTTTTATTTACCTTGTAACTCAACTTTTTTTCAGGATATTGTCTTTTATTTTATCCAGAGGCTATTGAATATTTCTGACTCATCAGCGAATTTGGCTTTTTTTTTTTGGACAGGAGCTCCTAATGCAGCCATTATTTGCCTTAAACTTTACTGCTCCTGACTCGGCCTTCCACCGTGCCCAGCTTTTTCTTGAATCCTAGGCTTTAACCAGAGGCCTCTTACCTTTTCCTCTGACTTGAGTTCCTATGTTCTCCTTTGTGCTATTGAATATATAGTTTAATTACTAGGCCATAAGTTGTAGGTGAAACCCTTACACCTTGTTTCTTTAAGAGGGCAAGGAAGGGGGAGAGGGAGAGGAAGAGAAAAGAAAGGGAAAAAATAGCTCAGGGATTACATTATGAAATTATGTAATGATTTTCGTTTGTGATGGATGACAGATGTGAACAAAGTCATTTCAGAGGAAACAATGCCAGTACAAAGTGATAGCTCCTGAACACTTTGGGAGAGGAAAGATAAAGGTCCAAGAGCCAGAGGACTTTTCTACTTCCTACTTCAGGGCCCAGGAGCAATGCTGCCTAGGGTGGGGATAGCCCACTTTCTCACTGGTGCCTTAGTCTCTTTCATTCAAAGAGAATCATAGTAGCTGGTAAAAATACACTCTCTTGAGAGTTCTAGGATGTTTAAAGCTTAGTTCTTTAAAAGCATACTCTTTCAAGATTCATTTAAGACAAGAATACAAATTACCAGCGAGTTTAATTACTGCATTACCAGCATTTAATGTAGTCCTGTGCTGTGGCAGTGAAAACCTTGTCAGGTCCTGGCTGGGGCTCGCAGTGTGCCCTCTTCTTTCCATGTACAGGATGAAAATCCTTCCGTGTCTGAAGTTGCTCCAGTTGTCAGAGTTCGGGCTTTTGCCCTTCTCTCTCTCCATCATCTGCGTAAAGGCCATTTGTTCTGTCTCAGACAAGATCCATCGATAAATCAAGGCTTTTTTTTTTTCTCCTCAGCAAAAAGACACTGCTTTCTGCTTCTGGGCTATTATTCTTCCTTTCTCTTCATCTTCTCTTTATTCTCTAGCTTCAACTCTTTTTTTTCTTCCCTCCCCCACTTTAGAAGCATAAATTAGCTTTGATTTATAAAGTGTTTTGGAGAAACAAAAGCTTTGGATGGTCCCCTGGTTTAATGATCATTCTGAAAAGAAGAGTTAACCCTAACTATAATTAGGTGCAGGTTTTCCCATCTCTTTATTGCAGTGATAGTATCTGAGGCCATCAGAGCAG